GGCCTGAGGGGAGCGGGGCCGGAGGGCGGTCACCTTGTGGCCGGGGCGGGGCGATGGCTGTGGGGGGCGATGGCTGTGGGGGGCGATGGCGGCTGCGGCCCGTGCGGTGAGGAGGCCGGCAGGGCTGTCGGCGGGGCTGCCCTCCGAGCCGCGGCTTTTGGGGGAGCGCTTCAAATCGGGGCTCGAGTCAGGCCGAGGGGGCTGAGGGCACAGGGAAGCCCGCACCAGAGAACGGGCAGCGTCGCAGGTGGTTCCAGGCGGTTCCATATTCATTTATTTATTTATTTAGCCTAATCCCAGTGTGTGTTACCGAGTGTTCAGGTGGCACCGTCCAGTTCATATCAAAATATCCAGGTTTTAAGAGGGGAAAAAAAAAAAAAAAGGCTGAGATTGGCTCCAGTTAGAAGCTGAATTACAGACAGGGTAAGAGTCTTGTTACTTAATCTGGAGATGTGTTAGTTAGGTTTTGCTTCTGCACAAATACATTTAATGTCATTGTGGCTATACTTTAAGTATGTCTTAAGGGTGTTTTTAATGATGGAGTGATAATTTGGCAATCTAGTTGCCTGATATGTGGAAAAAAAAATATAAACGTAGCTGTTAAATTACCATTGCTATATGTTGTAGTCAAGTCTCATGTTCCAGCTAAGACTGTCTGACACAGCCTTTGTCACATCTCAGCCATTCTTTCCAAACTTTGCCCTGGCAGCTCCCTGCCCCGAGTTGATTTAAAAGCGCTATCTAGAATGGCACAGCTGCTTTCTTACAGTGAGATTAAGGAAAGATGACTACTTGTGTCCCTGCTTGTGACTACTAAGTGCTTTACAGTAAGATTGTAACATGATGTAGTTCACTATGTTTGCAGAGTACTGCCACTTCAAGACATACTTGTCTTGAAGTCAGCCCAATATGGTCAAATTCTATACTTTTGAAAAAATCTCTGATTTACATGTGCTTCCTAGAATATGGCAGAAAAATATTCTCAAGATTCTTTTTGCTCTGGGAATATTGTGGTCTTTGGCCACAGCTTTTGGCAGCTGACCATTAAAAATGGGAGAAAACAAGCTCTGACTGCTGTATTCCTGCTGTTCTCTCTTTCCAAGAGTTGGAAAGAAAGACTAGTAAAGCAAAGGTAGAAGCAAAGGTGGTTGGCTACCTGCAAGCACCTCAACAATTGAGGGGAAAAAAGCTGCAACGCGATCTCACATTTTAATGTACACAAAAGAATTTACATAAGAGAAAGCACTCACAAAAAACAGAACCACAGGAAGATCTTCAACCGATGTTTGCAATTTTCAGACACAAAATCAATAAGAAAACTTGCAGAAAATCAGGCTTTGTTATTGTAGTTCTCCTAAAACTGAATATTTGAGGCTTTTTAGCATTATTTTCTAAGGGTGTGAGGTTTGGGCATACGTGCAGCATTATCTGTCAGTTCTCCAAACCGATAAAGCCACTGAAAATTTTAGTAAGTTATAACAGCTTTTGAGAATGCTAAACTGTTACAAATGCTGTGAAGGTAACCTCCTGGAAGGAAGACAGACGTCATGTCAGTAGGGTTGGGAGGAGAATTGTCTGAAGAGCTTGCCCCTTTTTGTTTCTGTTATTCGTGTGGCTACTGTTAAAACTTCATTTCAGAGGTTACATTAAAAGAACATAGATTCATTAAGTCAAGCACTGAAATGTAGCAACTGGGTGTAGTGAGGTTCCACTGTCAGGTTGAGTGTCTGGGTCCTGGATTAGATGTTGTATGCAAAAGTAGACTGTTTCTCAGATTGGTCCTGCATTTGTTATAGAAAATACACATAAGGAATTAGCTTAGACTAATAATACCATATATATCCTTATTCTCAATTTTTCTTTCTAAACATAAGCCCCAAAGGACTGCAAAGTAACCAGTACATTCAGAAGGTATGACTCAGGCCAGTCTAAAGATTTATTTTTTTTTTATGAGCCTGCCAGTTTTTCGTTCTTGGAGGCTATGCGCTTCTTCTTAAAAATTACTTCCCAAAGTCATAGATTCAGGGGGACGTTTGTGTTTGGGCAGGAGTGTCAGGGGGGATTGCTGGAGTGCAAAGTGGATTGCAACAGAGAGGAAGGGAATTAAGGAATGGAGAGGTTGCAAACAGGGAAGGTGGAACATTTGCTTCTTTCTTTTAACAAAGTTGCTAAAAGGCTTTAGTAGAAATAGAAGCTCAAAGTAAAAGACCTTCCACTGTCCACGAATTAAATGAGCTTCAAACTCACATGACTTCCGAGGTTGCCCCATGCAGACTTGAGGCCCCTTCCAATTATCTTTCTTAGAGCAGGTTCTTGGAATTCATTGCTTAAAATCAGGCTCTTAGACTGTGAACTCTCGCAATTTATTATTATGACCTTGCAGTGAGGGATAATGAGAGCATTAACTCTCGGGTGGTTAGCTATGGGAAAGCAAAGACTGTTTATTCAGAACAAAATAATTTCTTAAAATGCTATATGGTTTCATGTGCCCATATTACTATAGGATTGTTTAGGTCAGAAAAGACTCTTAATATCATGAAGTCCAACTGTTAACCTAGCACTGCCAATTTCACCACTAAACCATGTCCTAAACACAATATCTACCTGCTTTTTAAATACCTCCAGAGATGGTGACTCAACCACTTCCCTGGGTGGCCTGTTCCAGTGCTTGACAAACCTTTCCAAGAATAAATTTTTCCTAATTTCCAATTAAACCTCCCCTGGTGCAACTTGAGGCCATTTCCTCTTGTCCTCTGGCCTGTTACTTGGGAAAAGAGACCAAGACCCCCCAACTTGCTACAGCCTCCTTTCAGGTAGTTGTAGAGAGCGACAAGGTCTCCCCTCAGCCTCCTTTTCTCCAGGCTGAACAATCCCAGGTCCCTCAGCCACTCCTCATAGGGCTTGTGCTCTAGACCCCCCACCAGCTCTGTTGCGCTGCTTTGGATGAGCTTCAGCACCTCAATGTCTTTCTTGTATATAATGTCCATCTCACCTATGACATTTCTAGCTCATAAAAGTGCTGCAGATCACATGCTTGGGCTTTTCAACTTATGGTGAAAGTTTTGTTTGGTGGTTGGTTTTTTTTGAAAGAGCATTTTGACAGTTCCTAGGCTTGGGAATGTCACTTTATACCATTTAAAGTCTGTGTCTTTTTAGAAACAGGTTGAATTAATTTGTGTTGCTTTTTCAGAAAAATTACAAATGTATAACGCGTTTTGTGTGAAACACAGAGAAAATGGGATGACCATGAACCCCTTTAGCAATATCCAGCCTGGAAACTTGTGCTTCAATGTGAAGATTTATAATTTCCTTTGGTATGAATGTTTCATAAAGAAAAGTGTGCTCTTAGTCTTCATAAACTTATTAAGAAAAGTATGTCTGGAATCAAGGTAAATTAAGATAAATTACACTGCTTGGAGTCTGTTCACTCCTTTGCAGGAAAATATATAGGTGTCAGCTGTCAAGTAGTGTGTTTCATTTATATTAAACACAACTTGGCCTGTTGGGTGGTAAGTGGGAGACCTAGAGAGGACAGGGTGAGATTTATTAGTCCTTTCAGACTGATAGTGGTTGCTGTGGTCCCTTCAACATTCTTGAATTTTCCAAAGACTCCATGTTTTAGTGGAACCAGTGGAAGATAAGCACAGTCATGGATTTTCTACAGCTCTGGAAGGTCACACCATTGGTCTCAAACCAGGCACTTATTAGTATTTCTGAATTCTAGTATTAATGTTGTATTAAGGTCAAAAAATTGTTCTATAACTGGTCTTTGAAATGCAACAATAAAACATTTGCTAAGTGACTTGCTGCTGTCAATATTCCCCACTTGAGACTTGTGATTTTTTTTCTTTGTTTGCTTTGTTTTTGTAGTGCTGTCTTCCAGTTCTAGGCTTTTAAGAATTATCTGCTGTCCAAATCCTTATGGAATTCTTTTGCAGTTTAGTTAACATCATAGAGTATAGACTGTATAAGGACAGTCAGTAACTTATTCTTGGGAAATGGAGAAAATCATGTTGTATTTTCTTTGACAAGTCTAAGAACTTCAGCAGTTGTAAACACTTTTCTGTTGTTGTTTCACCTCCCACCAGCTGATCAAATCATGCTCTTCTGAAACCTTTGCCAAAACTTGACTTAGGCTGTTTTGTACAGTGTTGGTGGTTGATATGTTGAATGAAGCTGGGAATTTTAGGACTTGGTACTCTGTTAAAAATAGTATTTTGAAATGGTTCGTTGCACTGTAGGAAGGCTTATCCTAAAACTAGAGTAATGGGTTAGTACTAACATCCATCTTGTTCAGCACTTTGATCCTGACCGTTACGAACAGCAAAGTCTACAGAGGAACTCATTTTCGGACAGACACCATAATCTCCATTCTGTCTTGGCAAGAAGCTATTCTTGGTCTTGTAAAGATGATTTGTTGAAATTCTGAAGTGTAAAGCTTATTATAATTTTGAATCCTCTAGATGTGTTATGAAAGTATCTGTTCCACCTTTACGTATTTATGGGTTCTTGGTTCAGTAACTTTCTATAGCAGTGAGTTCCACTGACACTGTATGAATATTTTTGTTTTAAAAGAAAATGAAAGATTTTAAAATATCCTTTTTTTTTCTTGACAGAAAGGACAGGTATTCTGGATCAGCCCTTTCAACCTCATTATTTAATTTCTCTACACTTAACCTAAATATCTGGCAAGCTGTACCATTTGCAGAAAGCAAAGAGGGCTCTGTGTCCAGTTGATTATTACGACACACTGTGGGAAAAGCCTGAGTTTAGCTGGCTTAGCCTTATGTTACGTAGGCAACTCGGGACAACAGGTCATTTCAGAAAGTCAGTTTACAGACATCATTTGACTACTTATGTTTGTCCGTATCTACTTCAAAGTGAGTTTAGGTAACAGCTGGCAGTATGTCTTTGAATCAGAACATTGGCGTTCAGTATTGCCAGTGAAGCATCTCAGTCTGTATATGAATAGCTCGTGTATGTGGCTGAAGTGATGGCATCTCTTTACAAATGATTTGGGTTTAGGGCCAGTTATTTCCCACAAGAAAAAAAAAAAAGCATTATAATTGTTTTGTTAAGCTAGTGTGCTTTTACTTTGTCCTGTCTTACTTCCTCATATAGTTACCTAACCTACTTTTCATAGGACTGTTCAGTGGAAAGCAGAGCTCACTTAATTGATACTTAAAGCTGTTTGACTTCTGCAAGAAATGTAATTTTACTTCTCCTGCATGGCGTTTGGATTTTTGTGTTGGTTTGGTTGTTTAAAATGTAAAGCAAAACAACTCCTTTGATTTCACACACTTAGTGAAATGTGTGTTGAACTTGTGCTTTATTCTTTCTTGTCAGGCTGTCCATTGCTGTTGTACCTGAAGCGGTGACCATTTGATGTGAGTTAATGACATTTATCTGCCCTCCTGTTTTTTTCTCCTCGTTTTCCTTCTGTGAAGTAACATTATGAATGGAACATACTATGCAAGATTTATTTGCAGTTAATAATACCAAATGCTCACTTCCTTGAGAGAAATGTCCTTTAACACATACCAGAATAAATAAAAAAAAAGCTCTTGTACGTTACTATGTTTTGTGCCTAATCCTGAAAAGAGATAACCTTGCCCCAAACAGCTTACTGTTTAATGAGGGTCCAGTTTGTGTGTGTAACCAACAGTAGGAAAACCAAGGGAGAATCAGGGAAACAGCAGTAATATGTTAATGTGAACAAACAGGTAAAATTACTATAACCCTGTACTGCCCATCCATTTAAGACACAGTGTCATTATAGGAGTAATCTTGAAACATTTGAAAGAATTAAAGGTAATAGTGTTAAGCATCTAATTTGAGGAAGGTGGTACATCTTTGCATGTGAAAAAAAGGATAAAGACTGGTGTAGTAATGAGTAGCGACAGCTTGTTTTGCTGTATGTCTTGGGCCTTGCAATGTAATAACATTTTATGGTTCAGCATACTGGCGTGTCCTGCTAAATTTTGTTCTCTATAGTTTATCATACCTGGCTTCTTGTGGTTTAAGGGCAGGGGAGGTGTAAAGTGGAAAATAGCACTGACTCTGTATGACCAAAAGAAGGTTCCTGAGGTATTGGAAGAGTTTATATTTTTGTTTTCCATCTCATGATTTCTATAGAAAAGTATATACCGTTTCTTAGAAACTCCTGTTATGGAACTATGCTGGATTTTAGAGGCCCATGTGGCTGGACTGTGTAGATACCAGAACATTATTGGTATTCAAGTATCATATCTTTTCCTACTGTAAATATTGTTTGGCCGATGTAATTATCCACAGTTCAAGTATGCAGTTTAGGAAGGATCAGTAGAAGTTCTGTTTTCAGAATATCTGTAAGATGGAGTTGCAAGCAATAAAAATATAATTGTTAATGTTTCTGAAAAGTGTAAGATTTATTTTCCCACATGGAAATTGTTATCATAATACCATTTCACTGGATTTTTGTAGGAGTACAAATGTTTCTCTTAAGTCTGTTCTGTTAAAAAACCTCAACTCAACAATGAACAAATCAATATGGTTGTGTCTGGCTCTTCAAGTGGTGTTATAGAATGCGTTCAGGAGTGATGAGTCTCCTCCTGTCTGAGGCAGATAAAAACTACATAAATGTAAAACTGAAATCCACAATATTACATTTGAAGGTTTGAGCATAGAGGGTCAGCCAACACTAGGAAAAGTCTCCTTGGGAAGATACGGCAGTTCCCAGTATTTCTGCCAGAGTATTTGTTAAACCAGGAGTGAAAAACAAAACTCATGCTTGTATAACTTTTAGGGGGAAAATGCTGGATCACAGAATCACAGAATTGTGGGGGTTGGAAGGGACCTTCAGAGTTCATCTAGTCCAACCCCCCTGCCAAAGCAGATTCACCTAGACCAGGCTGGACAGGAACGCTTCCAGGCAGGTTTTAATGCCTGCGGAGAAGGAGACTCCACAGGGATATCGCTAGGACCTTGCTATTGTTGGTTTCCACAATAGATTTTAGAAAAATACTCACTTCAAATTCACCCTCAACCAATGTATTAAATACTCTTATACTGAAGGTGAGGTTTTTACTTGCTTATATATAGTTCACTTTCTTTCATCTTAATTACACCCTTTTAATGAAGGTGGATGTTATCCTTGGTTTAAGCGTCTACCTAATTAAAACTTGAAATACGTTATAGTCTGGGAGCCTGTTACGAGATCCATTTTTGTTAGACATCTAGAGTTCTGGAAAACCACGGGGATGATCCAGGTTTCAGAGTTGCACTCCAAGCCCACTGCTGGAGCTCCACTCCCTACTGATACTGCAGAACTGCCAAAGGCATCTTTGATAGATGGTGCTTCTGCTGGTGTTTCATGCATAAACATTCACTCCTGACAAGTCTGTGTCCCACCCCAACCCATCCTTCCCTAACTTCATCCTCCTTTGTGCCACACGCTGTATTTTGGTTGGGTGGCTGGAGATAGGTTTGGATATTATGGTGCAGCTTTTTTAAAGAATGTCCTGGTGTTTCTTTGTTCTGTGTGACTTTACATAGAAACTTTCCTGTCAATTAACTGGCAGCAGTTTTTGCTTCACAGTAATCAATGGAAGCACAATAAGGAATCCTCTTCTATTTGTTTAAACACTTTGAATTTCACAGTGTGTCTATATTCATGACTGAACAATATGTGAGCTCCTTCTAAACATTGTAATTGGTAATGCCCGAGCTGACTATATTGTAAAAAAAAAAATTAACCAAAATCAGAAAAGGCATAAAAAGCCCTCAGCAGGTATCCAAGTGTTACAAAAATCAGTGGCCTGTCAGACTTTAGGCTCGTGTGATATTTGTCATTAGGACTAGATATGAGACCACTGCCCATGAAGGTCCTGGGAAAAATACTATCAAGGTAAGAACAAACTTAGAAAATGAGAATTTTTGCTCAGTGCAACTGCGGAAGATAACAGTAAGAGATGTTAGAATGAGAAATCGGTGATCACTATATTTACATCTTAAATTTTAAAAAATATCAGTACTAAGCTAGTTACAAAGTAGTTGGTGTTTTTTCTTTTTTTCTTTCTTTCCAGATTTGTGCTCATGAATTGTTTGGCTACTTCTGCGTATCCCTCCCACTGTCAAAGAATGCAACAAAGTTCTGTCTGCAGAGAAAGCAAATACTGCAAGTAATCCAGCGTGTTGACAGGAAGATCAGTAAGTGGGAAATACATGATGAAATGTTAGACTCAATAAACTTTGAAATGAAGTGAGAAGAGATGGGTTTGCTTTTTTTCCCCCTTCCCTGTTTTAGGTTGTTTTTTTTTTTTTTTTTTTTTTTTTTTTTTTTTTTTTTTTTTTTTTTTTCAGAACAGTGGTGTGTTTTCTGTCTGTTGACAAACCTTATAAAATTGAAATCATACAAACAGCAGATATGATCAGTGAAGTTGTGAGGTAAGAGATCAACTTTATAAAATGTGTAACTGCAAACCAGGAATTATGAGCACATGTAAGGCAAAAGCTATGAAATACAGATCCTGTGCAAGAAACTTACTCCCTGTGTTGAGTGTAGTTTTATACTGGGTACTTTTTGAGGTGTGTTTCTCAGAGAGGCTGCAGCGGAAGAGGCACTTGCGCTGTCATCACCGCTGTCAAATTTACAGGTAGGATGCTTCTGTCCAGAGAACAAGCAATGAGGTTTTTAGGATTGTTCTTTTTAAATTAAACTAGAGAGTTAGGCTGTACATTGTAATTTGGGAGGTCTGACTCCATATTATTTAGGTATTCTACTTTGTATTATTTCATACTTGGAAACTGCTGTACAGTAGAATCCAAGGTTTGTTCAGAAAGCTAATCCCATGGTTTACATCAAAGGCAGTGGCTAAAAAGGGATGTTTTAGGGCCAAAGTAGGAAAAAGAAAAAAGAGATGGAAGACCTACTAGCTACCGCAAGCATATTCCTAACTAGGAGTTATTTTTCTGAATCTGGGCCTAAATCAGCTAGTTTTTGTTCTTTGTACAGCATATTATGAAAATGTAGGATTAAAAGTAGCCTTTTCATACTGTTAAATCAGTGACTACTGGACCACAGTTGAGAGAAAAACGCAATCAGTAACTTAACGTAGTAATACAGCCTGCAGTGCTTCTTGCTGCTTAACAAAAAACTATCACCCGGAACTATGGGTTCCTGGGCTGGTTGTGGACAGGGCAAGGAAACAAAAATACTTATTAAAATTACTTAGTCGGGGTCCCCTGCATTCTGTTAGAGCAAGCTGCACCCAAGTTGCTTCATTTTGCTTTGTTTTATATTGACCCAGACACATGAGAAACGAAGCCAAGTGAAGTACACAATAAAAATGTTAACAAAAAACCTACCAGACTTGGAACCAAAGAAACTGTGGTTAATTTCTTTTCCTCCTCTGGGTAATAACACTTCAGTGGGTCACTGCCTCTGCTTTGGGACTGAGAGACACCATGGGCAGGGCAGGGTTGAATCGAGAGGGCTGAACAGAGACGCCTGCAGTGAGGAAAGTGGTGATAGTAGCTGATGTCCTAATCGGGATCTGTGGGGAGGTTTTTGTGTTGAGTTGTGGTTTTGGTTTTTTTGATGTTTTTTTGTGTTTTGTTTTGTTTTTTTCCTAAATCTGTAAGGCCAGCATGCCACCTCCTGTTGAAATAAATAGAGATGGACAAGCTGTCCAAATGGGGAATTTTTTTTTCTATGCCCTTTTGAGCTGTTCTAAGAAGGAACAGTTCTTCCCTGTTAGCCCACACTCCAAATGTTAGATGTATAAATAAAAGTCTGGCTGTGTACTCTCATCAGTTTTATTTTGAGATTCTTTTTCTTCCATTCAGATCATAGGATTTTTTAGTTATTTTTCCATATTTGTTACCCATAAAAAGCCTGGAGGAAATTCAGTAATTCTGAAACTGGAAAAGTGTCTATGTATATATTTTGACAAATTTGTTATGGCTATTTGGAAATACTAAAATTTCTCAATTCTTAGGTCTACAATCTGCTGTGCAACTGGATATTTCTTTGAGTTAAAAGTTTCATTTGACTTTAGGCTGCAGAAATAATTGGACCTTTAGGAACTCAGGCTGAATTTTGCCAATGTCTGGAGCATTTTGGTTAAAATTAGTTGCAGTGATAAATTGAACGGTTTCAGGAACATGCACAAATGTTTTCTCAGATTCTTTCCTTTTGACAGACATGCGCATACTTGTTTATCGATGGTCTTGCCTCAGTTTTAAGGTCTAACTTTTGTTTCTTTCTCATTGCTTTTTCCATAAGACAACAAATAATGTTAATCTCAAGCAACTAAGTATTCATGTATGTGTGTACTCAGATGGCGGCCTTAGCCTGCAGACTTCTGGAGGTAAGAATGTATAGAATAATAATTGCTTTAGTGATTTCACTGTAAAAAAAAATAATAAAATTATCATTGTTTTTTCCATCTTAATTTGAATTCAGAATTTCCTTTTGTGTTTAGCGTCTGTATGGCAAAGTAACTTCTGCGTTACCTTCTTTAATTTGTTATACTAGAAATGAATGTATTTTATTTTGACAGTTTAGCAAAAACCATGCGTTAGTATACAAACGGAACTCACTTTAAAGAATGTGTGTTCTTTTTATTTTCAGGCTTGGTGGTAGTTTGTTATAACACTGTTTTTTGACAGCTTACTTTTTCAACAAAGAACAAAAGGCAGTGTGAAAAACAGGGTAGGAATCAAACAGGCCTCGAAAAACAACAGTGCTTTTCAATAGAAATTAATTAAATTTTAAGCATATGGGGCTTCCCTACCTACTGCGTTTCTTTACTGGTGTGATGGTGTGAAAGTGAAAAGCCCCAAAGCCCTGAGAGAGTCTAATGCAGCTTGGGAAGAGCTGGGTGTGCTCAGACCAGAGGGTGGTGGGAGTGAGTGGACAGAGGGGCACCGCAGCAGCCCTGCCCCAAGTTTTCAAGCGCATGAAAGGTTGGCGATTTTTGTGCCTGCAGAAGAAAGAGTCTTTACTAGCTTTAAAGACCAGATGCAGAAGACTTGGCAGTATTTTAGGGAAAGCTCTCTTATGAGATTTGTTAGATGTTGGAAGAGATTACCTAGAGGCTCTGTGTGGCTGACTATGGGGAAGTTTTTGAGGGAAGATACAGTAGTATCTCTCAGGGGGGAACCTTGTGACAAGACGAAAGAAATGAGCTCTGTCCTGTTCCAACATTTTAATTTCATAGATGCCACGGGGTTTAATGACATTCCCATAAATAAGTGTCTGGAACTAATGTTTTTATTGATGATAGAGTTTTCAACATGTTTGTGTGTATCAACACTGGAAGTTGCGGTCATGTTAGTAAATGGGTTGGCGTAAATACAGGCTGCTGCCAAAAAGGGAGGTGTCTCAGCTGCCTTTCCTCGTTCACCACCAGTGCTGCGTTTCTTTTCAGGCTGGTTTTCAATTCAAGTGGGGTGACAAATATACATAGCTTAGATGAAGGCAAATCTGTCCTTTTTGCAGCAGCAGCTGTTGCTCAGAGTGACTGTGGAACAGTAGCTTAAGGCTCTGCAGACAAGGGACGGTCACTGGGGTGCTACTACAAGTCCTGACCCAGGGCCTTTTCCAGGAAAAAACAACAGGCTGAAAGAGTGGCATAATAGAATACAGTTGAATGTCCTTTGTAGCAAACGATGACCTTTTATGGCCTCAAGAGGAAGTGTTGGGTATTAAGTTCTGTCCATGAGGCTTTAGCAATCGAGCAAATGAAGAAATTCCAGTTTTCAACTTTACAAAAAATTGATAGCTGGGAAGAGGCAGCCACCTAATAACGAAGTCAGACGGTGTACAGGTGCTGCTTCAAGTGTGCCTTTGCTTCCAGCTTTGTATCATTTGGGAAATTTACCAGTGATGGCAAGAAAATGACTATAGAATTCAAAACAATCACAGTGAAACAGTGAAACATTAACACAGTGTCTCCCTGCAGTAGTGGTGAAAAATTCATATCACCAGCAGGAATCATATTTTGCAGTGGTGAAAAAGTCTAAAGGAGGTAGGAAAAAAAAAAAGCAGAAATCTTTAATTTGCTATAACATTTTATTCATTTGCAATGTTACAATATAGGTGTAAACCCCAGCCTAGCTAAAATGCTATCTTTGACACAGAACTTGCAAGACTAAACATGATGCCCTGAAAAATCAAATAATCAGAGCTAGATAATTGGAGACTGGACCACACAATGCAACGCTAACTGCAGCCAGCCCACACTTCATGGAGTTCCAGAAAAAATACAGCTTTTCTTTCTTACTCTGTGTCTCCTTGCTCCCACTTCTGTGTACTTGCTGATTCAGTTTAAAATATTTTTTTTATTTATTTATTTCTTTAAAAGCCTCAAAGTTTCTGCAATGTCTGCCAGCTGCCAGATGTCTCCAACTCACAGATATTCCTGCAGAGCCTGGCAGAAGCTTGGACAGCTGGCACTTACCTAGCCCTCTGGCACAGTGGCTTAGAGGAATAACCACTCTTCCAGACCCCAGTTTTTCAAAACCTTGCTCCTGGGTGTTAGCAGTTGTAGGAATTCAGTGTCAAAGGTTACAGTTACAATTTTTCTGGCGAAATTGCCAGAGAGTTTAAGAACTCTCCAGGTCTGGTCTGTGCTGCTGAAGCTAGCAGGAGCGAAACAACCTGAGCTCTTCCTATACACGGTTGTTGGGGATAGATTTAGATGTGTAAAGACGCACATAAATGCTTCTGTGGGATTTTTTTTTCACAATCCAACAACGTTTCGGGGAGAATCAGTGGCCTTTTTGCAACTTCAGGTGCTTGATTGTTCTCTCCTGACCTCTCTCTTTGGCAGCGAACCCAGAGGTGGCTGGAATACAGTTGATGATGGGTTTAAAAGTGGCTCCCATGGCATTACCCAGGTGAGGGTTAGCTGGGCAGTGCCAGAATTCCCTGAAAAATCCTTGAAAAGCCGGAGTGACGTGGCCCATTGTCTTTGCCCTGCTTTATTCGCTTGTGCTGTGGGACACGGGCTTTTCCCCCGAGGTGTGATCGTGAGGAAGCACACTCGTGTCTCCAACACGCCCTGGGATGCGGGGCCTGGAGGCTGCGCTTCACGAGGCCTTACAGCAAGTGACTGCCGACGCCAGCAAGAAAACCTGCCTTTTAAACTAAGAAGATCTGAGCATTTTCCGTTTACTGATAGGTCGGTGGAGGGGGAAAGAGCAAAAGTCGTTTTATCTATCCCCCGATGAAAACCCGCTGCAAATTAAGTATTTCGGAGAGCGCGAGACCCATCAGAGGTTGCGTTTGAACGGTTTATCTCGCGCCGCCGCCGGGCCGTTGATGAGCGTGGCCCCGTAACGCCCAGCAGCAAACGGTCACAGCGGAGCGTCCCGCGCCGGCCGGGGCGGCGGCACCGGGGGAGCCCCCGGTGCGAGGGGCTCAGCGCCAAGCCTCCGGTGGCGCCGTCGTCCCCCTCCCGGCAGGCGGAGGTACTTCCCGGGGAGAGTTTGTGTGCGGTTTGGAAGCGCTCCGAGTTCCTCAGAGCCCCCGGGGACCACCCGCCGGGCGGGTGAAGGGGAGCGGGCAGAGCTCTCTCAGCCTCGGCGGCCCCCCGGCCCCTCCCTCGCCCCCCTCCGCGGGGTTTCCCGCTGAGGCGCAGCCGTGAGCGGTGCCGGTACCGGCTCGCCGCCCTCAGCTCCCGGGGCGGTCTCCGTTGCCCCGCCGCGAGCGCCCGGGCCGGCCTCCCCTCAGCGAGCGCCTCGCCTCGCCCCTCCGCGCCGCGGCCGGACGATGGCGCTGCAGCACCGGCCTTGCGGCTCGGCGGCGCGG